CACACACACACACACACACACACACACACACACACACACACACACACTCTGAGATCAGGTACCTGTAGAAAAGACACTAAGATGAACCTGTTCAATCACTGAGAGTCAACTGTGAATGAGGGGTAAGATCTCAGAGGAAGGAAAGCAGAGGGCCAAGACCTGAATCTGGAGAAGTCCCACCCTTGGGAGTGGGAGGACAAAGAGGATCCTGTGGGGATTTAAAGGAGCGGTCAGGGAGGGAGGAAGAAGTGCAGGATGGTGTGGTGATCGGCAGCTGGCTCGCCCTAGAAGCCCTGCAGAAGGCAGGCAGCAGCAAGGGTCAGAGGGGCCTTTTGGGGAGCACCACCCTCGTTCTGCCGGGGCTGCCGCACCTCGTGCCTGACTGTTGCGTGAACAGGGTGTCTTGAGAGCCCAGTTTTCAGATTCGTTTTCAACCAAAATAACATTTCTGAAGGACCAAATGATTTTGTGACTTCCCTGTTGGTGCAAATAAGACTACAAAGCCATTTTGTTCTCCCCAGCTTACACACCTCAGGAAATAGTCGGAGGAATCCAAGATTCGGAGTTCCTCCTTCCTGAGCTGCTGAAGAAAGCAGGCTATATCAATAAGATTGTTGGCAAGTGGTAAGTCTGGCTTGAGCTTTTCCCCCCATTTTTTGGTATGTACCTTATGGCCCAAGACGTAGACATTTTCCAAGCAATCATTACTAAAATTTCCTAACAAGGAAAATTTGTTAGGTTGAAAATGGAAAAACTTTATATTCTAACCCAGATAAAATCTGATACGTAAATGCTTTGGGGGGAAAAAAACTGTTTTGAGTAGAGATCACAAGAGTTGGTAATGGAACAAATCCAGTGTGTTATAGGACCAAAAATTTATGTTGTGGTTTAGAATATGAACAGTGCTGTAACTCTTCTGGTCTAGATGAGTGAATGAAGCGTTTATTAAGCACATACTGTGTGCAAATCTCCAGAGATGTGAATAGAAGAGAAAAACCCTTGCTCTTCAGGGGCTCACGGTCTAACACCTATGAAAGGCTTCAGTTACAATGTAGATGGAAAGGTGCCATGGTCCTTAGCGGGCAGATTCACAGGTGCTAAAGCCTCTTCCTCAATCTCATTTCCACTGACAAAAATCAAATCAGTTTCAGATGTCGAAGGATTGGATGGGGGGCTATGATGACAAGACCTTTCTGTCTGGGTCTTCAGTGGCCGTGGCCCCTGCAGGTGCAACTGCCAGGCTGCCCCTCCCCAGACGCTTCCCAGGAGGATGGCCGAGGGCTTATTCCCAAGACTCTTGGACTTGGGGTCCTGAACTGGCCCCTATCAGGGCCTGAAGGGAGTTGGTGGTTAAGGTGTTGGGGGTGCTTGGCCTGGTCTGGCCCATGTTGCCTCCTGTCCCGCCCTCAGGGCCCCTTGCGGCAAATATACTCTTGTTTATATGAATGCATACTTTTGTTAAAGCTTTGAGGTCCGCAATGTTGTAAATACTTCCTCTGAAAAGGCAGTAGCCCTCTTTGTCCTGGTAGATAGTCTTCATGAATTGCTGCGGTTGCAGAAAGTTCCCTGGTGCCCCCTCTCTGATGATGAGGAGCTAGGCTGCTGCTCAGACAGTAGTCATCCAGACGTCTAGAGCCGTACCAGGAGCTTCTTCAGCTTGGTAGAAGGTACCGGAGCTGGAGCTGGTGTTAGATCGTCTGGGGTGTGGGATGCCAGGATCGCCTCCAGGCCACAAAGAGCTTAGACCCTAGTGGTGGAGGCCAGCCTTGTGCACAGATGCCCATGAGCCAGAAGAGACTGTCCCATAATGGGGTGATGGCCTTCTCACTGTGAGGCCCTTAGTGGGCATGTATGCCTATGAGGCACGTAAAAGTGCCATGGGTGCAGCGCCTCTGCCCACCTCTGCCTTCCTGTCTGGCCCCTTCTCACCTTGCTGCCTCCAGCCAGCCCCTTCCTGCCTCGGCCTCATTCATAGAACTGTATTACTGTACATAAGGGATGTCGTCACACCCTCTGAGGAAGACGTGTTTGCAGTTAGTGGTGAATGGCAGCAAAGGAAAAGATTAAAGGCACTGTCATTCTTGATCTCTTACCTCCCTTCTGTTACACTGCCGAGCTGAAGTGGGCATTTTGTGGCCGCCTCTCCGCCTCAGTGTCCCCTGAACTGCGTTCAGGGCAGCCTCTCAACTACAGTCCAGGCTTCCTTGGAAAAGGGACAGAACCAGTGACCTGCAGGTTCAGGGCCTTGGACAAGGACTCTTCTTTCAATCAAAGAATCCTATTTTCTTTCCCTACTATCCCCTCTTCTGCATTGGAAAAAAAAACAAAATGCTGTAACAAATGTGTCTAGTTGTTTCCGGTTACAACAGTATGCATACCCTTTGGCCTAGCTATACTGCAGCTAGTGCTATACCCGAAGAAATGAAAGGCAAAAAGGCTCTATCTACAAGGATATGCAAACTATTTAAGCAGGTCTTTAGTTGTAGCCAAAACCTAGAATCTAAGGGGCCACTCGTTCCTCCTGGGGCATGGCTAGGTACCCTGTGGTATGGGAACGTCAAGGAATATTCTCGTGCCCTAAGAAATGATGAAATGGACAGTTTCTGAGAAAAGGAGGAGGCCTCAGTGAGCTGGTGCCGGATGAAGTGAGCAGGCCTAGGAGAACAGTGTATGGAATGATAACGTTATAGAGAAAAAACAACTCTGAAAGACTAGAACTCATTGTGATCGATGACAAATCACAAATCCACAAGAATGAAGATTAAACACGTGGACATTTGTTTTGACGGACTAGGAATATATGTATCAAAGGATTTATTTTGGGTTTGAAAAAAATTTTTTGCTTTATGGTGGTGGTTAGTAGGAGTAGGAATGAGTAGGAGGTTATTTTTGTAAATGGCCATTTGTGCTATGATATTCCACATTTAAAAATAAATAAATAAAATGGGGGTAGCTAAGTGGCACAGTGGATAGCGCACTGACCCTGGAGTCAGGAGGACCCAAGTTCAAATCTGGCCTCAGACACCTGACACTTACTAGCTGTGTGACCCTGGGAAGTCACTTAATTGCCTAGAAAGAAAGCAGGAAAGAAAGAAAGAAAATATATGCTTAATTAAGAAAAACCAATCCCCACACTGGTCATATCCAAAAGGCTATATCTACACCTGCAATTGTCCCTTCTCTGCCACTTCTCAGGCGGGTAGCCTGCTTCATCCTGGGGCCTTCGGATCCTCTGGACTCATGGTTGGCATTGCATTGATATTGGGGACCAGGGACTCTCGCGATAACCCAGCAATATCCCCAGCCCCATGGCCTTGTGGCAAAATCCCAGAATCCTGAAGCACCTGAGGAGTCATCCTAAGGATCTGATTATTTGACCATAAAATACTCCTTAGTCTTGTAGGGGTGGTGAAAGAGTACTCATAGAAGTAAGAGGAAGCAGACTTGAGGATTTGGAGAGTTTTCTGACTTATGTGCTGCCCACCTGCTCACGCCACCCCCTCCCTCAAGTCTTGTCTGAAGGCCCAGCTCCAGACTTACCCCTCCTGAGAAGCCTTCCCCCGCTGCCCTTTTCTACTGAGCACTCCCACTTCTGAGCTCCTGTAGCACGTATCGCCAGCACCATCTATGGGGATTTCTCTGTCCTGCCTTGCGTTGTTATTTATCTCCTTAGTTTTGGTCTTTTCTCCACATTTAGACTGGAAGTTCTGTGAGGGAAGGGGGCTCACCAAATGTTTGATAATGGTGATCAGAATGGATAAAGGACATCAGAAGTGGTCATCTTTGGAGAATCCTGATTGTCAGGAAGCTACCTAGTGACTGGAAAAAAGCCACGCTTTCTTGGTCCTTCAGCAGAATGGGGAAGCTGCCCCTGCCAGGCTAATCAGCTCCAAAGTGATTCCTGGTTCAGTCAGGGAGTGACGGTGAGGGGAAAACCCACTGGGGACCTTGGAGAGACTTTGTGTCATGGAATCAAGCCCCATCAGGCTTCCAGGCTGATCTTTGTAGTTGAGAAAGCCGAGAAAAGCCATGTAAATAGCAAGCTGAGAAAAAAGTGGCAAAACTAGCACGAGAAATTGGTTGGCGCAAAGAAGAATGACTGATCTAATCGTGAACAGTTCATGGGCAGCAGGGTGGTCCCAGTTCTCCGGGGGTATCATAGCACTGAATGAGTAGGTCTGTAATGAAACACACATGATTCAGGGTTAATATTGATTAGTTCATTCAGATGTGCCAACGCCAAAACTGAACAGGGAGAAAACAGGCCAGAAACCACATCTAGTCTTTTCACAAGTTATTAGTAAGTGACAAGAAGAAATACTAGCTGGGCAAAATCCTCTACAGAGGCAGAGGGGTGATTGGGAAGTAACCTCCTCCGAAACAGGTACCTCGTATTTCTGTGCACAGGAACTGCTCAGAAAATTGTAGGGGGCATAGAGTGAATGAATGAGAGAAAGGAAGGAAGAACTGATCACCTGTTGTTTGTTTAAGTGCTAGGGAGACAAAGTATGAAAATATTAAAAGAGAGAAATAGGAAATAATTCTTTCTCCCTGGCCCTCAGGGAGTCTGCATTCTAACAGAAGGCAGACCCTCTGGGGGACTAGTGACCGGAGAAAGGGCGATTAGTCATGGGAAGGAGGGCACAAAATAAAGAGGCAGGCAGGTGGTGGAATGGGCCGGTGCCTAGCCAACTGGTTTGAGCCCTACGGTGGGAGCTCAGAGATAAATGGATGAATTTCCCCAAAGCCGAGGGCCTGGATTCTGGAAGATCCTGTGTCAGGAGGACTCTAGGAATGGTTGGGCCTTAGGGCAGAGGTCTGAGGTACATTCTCTACAAATACAAGGTTGGTGCAAAAAGTAGGCCGAAAGTACAAGTGTGATTAAATAGGCATGCAGAGAAAAGACAGTAGGGGGTGACCGGCAGCAGCTGATGAGGGAGCCCCACCTTGGTTACAACCGCTGGGTGAATCATGGCATTAGACCTAGAGGGGGCCTTAGAGATCTTCTGGTCCAGCCCCCTCATTTTGTGGGGCAAATAGAAGCATCCCTTCTGGCCCCATATTGACTTTTAAAACCACAAATTAACATTATCTGAGAGTGCAGTTTATTTTGTTAAACATTTTCCAATTACATTTTAATCTGGTTTGGCTGTGGTCCAGAGTTTGACACCTCTAGCTGGCATTTATATAGCACTATAAAGCACTTTACTCATGTTATCTCACTGGATGCCGAGGTCCAAATTTTACAAATGAGGAAACTGAGGTTGAGAGAGGGTAAATGACTTGCCCAGCATCACACCGCTAGTAAGATATCTGAAGCAAGATTTGAACTCGGGTCTTCCCGACTCCAAGCCCAGCACTCTATCTACTAAGTTGCACCCCCTGACAGGAAGCAGCTTTAGACAGGGGACAGTCAGGCAAGTCTCTTTTTCAATTTTCTGGTCTGTAAAAAAAGCGTTAGTAATACCCAGCCTACCTACCTCACAAAACATAAAAGCACCTAAAGGGTTTTGCAAAAGTATATTATTATCACCATCATCATTATCATTTTAGAAGGAAGAGAATATGATAGTTTGCTAACAAGTAGCATCTTAATTCTGTAATTCCATTAAGGAGAGCTTGTTTGCTTTAATTCTAAGCCAGAATGTATCCTCTTGTCTTTTTTTTTTTTTTTTTTTTTAAGGCAATTGAGGTTAAGTGACTTGCTCAGGGTCACACAGCTAGTAAGTGTCAACTGTTTGGTCTGAGGCCGAATTTGAGCTCAGGTCCTCCTGACTTCAGGGCCGGTGCTTTATCCACTGCGCCACCTAGCTGCCCCCAGAATGTGTCCTGATGAGCTGTATATGAACCAAAATGACCCCCCTAGTCTAGAAATTAATGGATTGGATTGTATAGGGAGAATACGGGAGTCCCACAGAGTATTCCTATGAGAAGATACATAGCGTTGATGGATGGATCTGAGGTGGTGAAGTAATGCTGAAATGGAGGGAATCAAATTCTTCTTTTCCCCAATGAAAACAAAACACGAAGATTGAAAAGGCGTAGCTCCAGAGTCCCCGAAAGGCTATCAGCACCATCTCAGCCCCTCTTCTTGCAGTTGGAGAAGTGACGCCCAGGAAAGTCAAGCAGCTTCCTCAGGGTCCCAGAGCCGGACCTCTGTGGTCACTCAGTCTCCTGACTCGTCACCCAACGTACCCCCAGTTTGCCAGTCTCCACCTAAATTAACGTGTTAAGTGAGTGAACTTTTATATAGATCATGCACACAGTAGTTAATTGAGGCGTCGCTGTGCTGAGGTCAGCGTAATAGACTTGGGAGGAAGATAATGAGTGGCGCTCTGGGTGGAAAGTCCCCCTGGCGACCCAGACCCACACATCCGTTCAGTCATTCCATACGGTTAAGCAGGATTCTGCACTAGGCGCTGGAGAGACACAGAGAAGAATGAATGTGTGTGTGGTGGGCTGCGGCACAGGAAGATGGTCCTATGCATTCTCTGAAATCTGTTAATATTGAGAGCAGAGCCACTGGCCCTCCAGAAACTCTGGAACTCTTCTTGAGAAGCAGCTTGTCTTGATAGTTCAGAGTGCTGCACTTGGAGCCAGCAAGGCCTGGATTCAGATCCTCCCTCTGATATCCCCTGTCTTTGTAAACATGGGCAGAGCTCAACTTTTCTGAGCCTCCATTTCCTCTTCTGTAAAACGAGGATAATAATACCTTCAGCTCCTGCCTAACTGCACAGCTGTGAGTTGCCAGTGAGAAAGAGAGTATATGTTACACACTCTACCCGCTTTACAAAGCTGTGTGAATGGCAGCTGTTGATAACAGTATTATTATCTTAAAGAATCTGCCCTTTGGGGAGCTAGACTGGATCTTCTCAGAGGTCGGGTGCTGGTGGAGATCTCTGGAGCAGTGGATTACAGAAGGGGGGATGTACGTGCTGTGCAGAGTGAGCAGGAGGTCAGGGCTGGCTCAGGTGGGCTCTCTCTCCTGGCTGGAGGAGCCAGAAGGATTAGCTGCTCCCCAAAGGGAGGAAGAAGGCTTGACAAAACTTGAGAGGAACAGAGCCTGGCAGGAAGTTCTCCACAGCTTAGATTGACGCCTCCAGTGTGTGCTGGGGGTTTGCAAACTGGAAATCCCCCCCCACTCTCTTGACTCCAAGCAGATGATCTTCGTTCTTTGGAACAGATTTCACAGTTATCACCAAAGTGGGCACTTTGCCCGTTTTATCTTCTAATCACTCAAATCTACATAAATAATACAGGGCTTTGGGGGAAATTATAAGCACATAGTTAGCAGATCCTGGAGCCGTTCCAGTCTGTTACGTGGAGTTGTACTGCATACATGATGATAAACCTCCGGCGCAGAAGCTTAATGTGCCTGCTTAAACCTGTTGTGACCTTTTGAGGCTATCTCTGAACAGTGGCCGTCCAGAACGGAAAGAAGAGATTATTGGAGCTCCAAGTAACCTTATCGGGAAAAGGTTTCTTCCTAAAGTGCAATATAAATGTCTGTTGTCATTGTTAATATTAACAGACCTATGGGAAAAACCCTAGAGTTACGGGAAATTCATAGTTTAAAACTATTTTGTCCTCTTCTTGTGCCCTGGGTTTTGGGTGAGAAGGAAGCAAAGACATGTGGGGATAGTATTTGAGGGTTAAGACTATGGAAGTGGCTATTATTTTGAGGTCCAGGAGGTTGCCAGTTGCCAGATTATTAACCCTTTGACATAATACAAGACCTTTTTAAAAATTATTACTATTTGTGAGGTATTTGTGAGGTCCCTGAAATGGCTTGGGTTCCTGTTTCTAGGCATTTGGGTCACAGGCCCCAGTTTCACCCCTTAAAGCATGGATTTGATGAGTGGTTTGGATCCCCCAACTGCCATTTTGGACCTTATGACAACAAGGCCAGGCCCAACATTCCTGTTTACAGGAATTGGGAGATGGTTGGCAGGTAATGGAGTTTTTTCTTTCTTATCCCTTCCCTTTGTGTAAATCATTACCTTTACTTTCCTTCTCACTTTTTCCAGGAAGCAGCTTGCGGTTGGGGTTCTAAACTTGTTTATTCTTGCTAAACTGTTGGAACGGCCCATGTCAGTCTAGGCTTGGGTCCTGCTCCTCTTCCGTCTCATTTGGGTCTGGCCTAAAGATTCTATGATGATCTGTAGTTCCCTCTTATGTGTGAAGTAACATTGAGTCCAGGACACTTTCCGCTTACATATCATCAGAGGCAGCAGTGGGGTTTTTAGGCACTCTTTGCATAGACCCCACAGAGCAAGTAAAACCCACTTTGAGATGGTGGGAAGTCATCTTTCTCACTTTGCCCAACATTCTTCTTACCTGTCATCACCTAATAATCAAGGGAGTGAACGCAATTAGTGCTTTTAGATCTTTTCACAGTACAAATTGTTCCCTCAAGTATTTAAATTATCATTGCATTTATGGCACTATTTCCCCATCCTTTGTGATAGGTTTCATCAGTTCTGTGTTTCCTTCCTTTTGCTTAATCATAAAACCCAGGGAGGAGAGAAGGTCTCCCATCTTGGGTCTACTGGCTTTTCTTATTTTACATCATTTTCAGATTCTATGAAGATTTTCCCATTAATCTCAAGACAGGAGAGGCTAATCTCACTCAGATCTACTTAAAGGTATTGGAGGGCTGAGTGTGGGGTGGACTGTTCAGTGCCTGAAGTGCTATTGGAGTGTTTGGCTCCAGTGGCAGGGAAAGAATTCATTTTCATTTGCAGGAGGCAATGGATTTTATTAAGCAACAGGCTTATAAACAGCCCTTCTTCCTCTACTGGGCCGTTGATGCCACCCATGCACCTGTGTATGCTTCAAAAGCTTTCTTGGGTACCAGTCAGAGAGGGCGGTAAGTCATTTTATTATTATTTTTATAACTCCAGAAAATTGCAGCAGTATTTCTTATCTGTGTCTATTGGAAGATTAGCAGTAGTATTGGCTTCACCTTTGATTAGCTGCGTGACCTTGAACTTCGCATCTTTGGTTTTTTTCCCCCTCTTTTTAAAAAAAAAAAGGTAATGAAATTGGCCCATCCATTTCATTAAAGCCATAGGGTTAGTATTTAACATGATTTTAGTTGTTGAACTGGTATTTGCACTGAGTTAATCACTCAAAGTTTGCCATTCTCATTTTCCTGTAGATATGGAGATGCTGTTCGAGAAATTGATGATAGCATTGGGAAAATACTGAAGCTGCTTCAGGACCTGGGTATCCAAGAGAAGACATTTGTGTTTTTCACATCCGATAATGGAGCCGCCCTCATTTCCGCTCCCAGTCAAGGTAAGTGTGTCATATTAACTCTTCCCATGACTTTATGCCTTGCAATAAGATTAGTGGCTTAGATTCTTAATTTTTATAGAGTATGCCCTAAAGCCTATACTAAATACCACCGCGGGCCAGACCCATGGCCATGATATCGGGAGATGCTTCCTAGGGCGATATGATTGCCCTGCATGACATTAACCTCAGAATTTAGCGGTTCCTACTTCCCACTGCTAAAAATTCAAGTATCTTTTATTGAGTCACTGTGGGCATTTCATTTCTAACGTTATCAAGAACCATTTTTTTAAACTTACTATATTTTCAACCTCAGCTGTCCCTTGGAATAGTCGTTCATTCCACCATAAACTTTAGAAGCTGGAGAAGGACCTTAGAGCATTCCTAAGGGCGATACCTTCTAGGTAAAGTAGTACCTTGTCTTTTTCCTAAAACTTCTTTTGAGTCAAGGAGTTGCCCTAATTGTAGAATAATGGGAATTTGGTAAATGTTCTCTCGACAAACAAGTCTGTAGACATCCTTTCTATTCACAGTAACTTCCAGTGTTTTCCCAACTAATGCTAATATTTGTCATAGCTCCCTTCTCAGAATTTAAGTGATTTGAGTGATGGGTTGATTATCCCTCTTCCCCCCAACAAATGTTAACTGTATCTTAGAGAACCCAGTTCTAGGAGTCCTGGGTTTGTCCACCTAGAAGCCCAATTTTGGCCTCCTTTTATCAGTTCCTTTATTCATTTGTTTTTGGGGTGGGCAGGAACAGGGAGGTGGGGTGGTCTTAAGAGGGGGATAGTCACAGTGGCGGCATCCTCAAAGTCTTTTGATCTCATATCCTTTTCAGTAAAAGAATTATTGAGCATTTATCTACAATAAAGGGTAGATTAATTTATAAATTATATTAATGTACTATAGTGCCAATAATTATGTACATTATAAAACTTAACTGAAATTGGGCATTTAAAAAGGATGGAATAAACATGAAATCATATTTGGTCCTAGAGTCAGTGGAAAGCCAGTGGAGTCAATTGAATAGGAAGTGATGTAGTTAGACCTATGCTTTAGGAAAATCACTTTGGCAGCTGAGTGAAGGATGGACTGGAGTAGGGAGATACATGGAGATCAATTAGACGTCAACTGTAATAGTCCAGAGAAGTGGTGATTAGCCCTAAGTGTAAATTCCTGGTCCCCAGTGTCCCCACCGCCACCAAGGCTCTGTCCTTGACCTTCTCTTTGCCTGTACGCTGAGCCAGGGCAGGGGTCATGTGGATGGAGAGAAAGGGGATGGACTCAAGAGGTATTGGAGAGGTAACAAGACTTGGCCACTGACTGGCCATGGGCAGGGTGAGGAGGGATGAGGAGTGGAGGAGACCAGTGGTCTGGATCCTCTGACCCAGCAATTTCTGAATTCTCCTTCCTTCCAGGAGGCAGTAATGCACCCTTCCTGTGTGGGAAACAAACCACCTTTGAAGGTGGGATGAGGGAACCAGCGATTGCCTGGTGGCCTGGACATATATCTGCCGGACAAGTAAGTAGCTCGGGTCAATGACTTAGTTAATTGCCATCTGTGACAACTTTCTGAAAAGGCAGCGTTCCAGACCGCAGGTCATCTTGGACCACAAGCTGATGTTTGCTCGAGTTCTCTCTTTCCTGTTGATCTTCCCTCCATCCTTGTCAGTCCCTCCGAAATGCTGTGATCAGAAGTCATTTCCAGGCTCTCTTCCTTTCTTGGACCCCTGCCCAGTGCTTCTTCCCTCCTCAGAAGTAACCCTTCATCATGTGAGCTGATCGGACTCAGGGCTTCCCCTGGCCAGATCTCTGACCAGGAAGACCCTTCCAGTTTGAGGGGCACACATACTGTAGAATAACCGATGGTCCTGTTGCACTATGCCGTGTAGAGAAAAGTCTTCAGATAAGGACTCAACCAAACCATAGATTAGCAAGTCTGGGCTGGGGAGCTGAAGTGTTGGTTTGATTTAAAAAAAATGCTCCAGTGAATCAACAGTTCCTACCCTGAGTGATCTGCTGCCTTTCAGGGTTGTCTTGGTTCTTCTCAAAATCAGTGAGATAGCAACTAAAATGATGAAACCTCAGTACTGGTATTCTGGCATTTTCTCAGTTACAGACCATCTTGTCCTGGCATCTGGTCACCTTCTCTGTGTCAGGTTTTTTTGTTTCTCAGTGAGACTCTAAGCTAAGAAAGGACATGTCGTCTGGGGTATTTCCCACTTAATATGCTCCATATACGTACGACGTTGAACACATAGGTGCTCAAGAAATATTTGTTTATGGATTTAATTGTGGGGAGCGGAAAGGAGAGTAGACAACATACATGCCTTCAAAGAATTTAATAAGGGGGAGAGGACAAATAAAAATTTAAGAGCATAAAAAAAACGCCTTGCCATATGTCTGTACCATGCATAGCAAGTTTTAGCTATACACAGATGCTTCTGGTACTGTCAGAGTCGTCATGGGAGCCAGGTGCGGTTAATTTGGGAGTACTTAATAAAGGCATTAATAGTTAAGCTGTGTTTTTAAGGAAGAGAGGAAGATGGCTTAGCAGATGGAAGGAAGGACGATGCTATTCCTGGCTGGGAAAGGTGGAGAAAGTGGGCGTGAGTGAAGAACGCGGGCTGGAGGAGGAGGAGGAGCAGCCCTACCTGGCGCTGGGACCCCACACTACCAAGGAACCGCACTTTTTCTGCTCACTCGTCCCAGATTTCCACCATCCAGCAGCCTCCCCCTTTTGTCTTCAGGCCTTTTGGATAAACCATTTTATAGCGTTATTTTACCCATTCTCCAAATAGGCAGGCAGGCAGGCAGGCAGGCAGCAGTATGAGCCAGGCACTGTACCAAGTGCTGGAGATAAAAATACAAGAAAAAGGAAAGACCAGTCCCTATCCTTAGGGAGATTATGTTCTTGCAATGGAAGGCCACATTGGAGGCGAGGAGGAGGAAGAAGGTGCCTACCCACATAGGGACAAAGTCAGACAATCAGAGGCACAGCCGGGAGGGGGAAGAAGCCTGGCCAGCCTGGGCCCAGCCCCCAAAAGGAGGGCCAGGAAAGGCCTCCCCAGTGAGAGGAGGGGGCCATCATGGCAAGGAACCCTGGGGTGAGGAGGCAGCTGAGTCCATAGACTTGCAAGCAGGGATGGCCAAAGAGAGACGACCTGTATCCTTTTCAGTTCAGCAGGGCCTTTCACAGCGAATCCTGTTCTGAGTGAGCATAGCCTGCTCTTGGTATATCACTAACTACTCCCCACCCAATGCACCTTCTCAGGACCGGAGTATTTGTGTGTTTGTACAAACCTTATTAATGTGTCTGCAGTGACGTGTGCAAATGTAGGCATCACTACTTACTGCTTACTGGTCTGCCTTTTCTCTCCCTTCAAATTAGAATCCTCTTCAGGGCAGAAAGGCGTCCTTTGCTTTCTGTGTAGACCCCACAGAACACTGGAAACAGGCACATTTTCACAAGCAGAATTATTGTACGTCATACTTGAGCAATCATCACCGTCTGTAAGATCATCCTTGAAGTTCTGTGTTTAGAAACTGTTATTAGGTTATCGCTTCTCTTCTCGTCACTTTCTCTATGCTAAAAAGCCCAGCTCCCTTGACCTTTCCTAACTTTCCAGCCTTTTATCAGCTTCACCTTTGATTAGCTATGTGACTTTGAACTTCCTTTTCTCAAAACCTCCTTGAGATTCTCTGCATCTTGTTCCAAGACAGAGCAATAAGCTCTTCTAATAAAAGCCTAACCAGTTAGAGGAATAACTTGTCTTTATTTTTAACAATTCTGATAAACCTCATGGTAAACATTGTTATAATCAATTAAACTTGTTTTGCAACTATTTGCATTTAGGTGATTTAATTTAGATGCATAAAATATAACTTTCTGGAGTCACTCTCCACAGATCTTCATCTGCATTCTCTGTCCATTCATTCCAAAACTTGTAAAAGCGCTTGGTTCAGTGCCTGGCACATAGTAGGTGCCCTTGCCTTCGTCCTCCCTGCTCACATGTCACCCACCCGCTCTGCTTCCCACTCTCTTCTTCTCACCTGGCATTATTTTGTTTGAATATGGCATCACGTCATAATGATTGACCATGGGAACACGTCGTGGCGCTTTCACCATTCCTCTGTTGTTGGTTGTTTTCCAGTGTGGGTTTTTTTTAAATCGGAGATGATGCTTCTCTCAACATCTGTGAATAACACCCTCAGGGTCTGCCCCCCATAATAGAGGGTGCAGAAAGGCAGGCTTGGCAGGCAAGGGATTACTTCTACCTGCTTTGGCTGTGGTGTCCCCGACACTCTGTGCTCTGTGTATGCAGTGGGCACTTAATGAATGTTTGTAGAGTTGGATTCACGCAGTGAAGAGCATCCCACAGGGACCTGTGAGGGGCATGTACCGATTGGGTAGAGCTGCAGCTCTTTCTGCCATTGGCTGATCATGCCTTTTGTTAGAGGTGCTGTGCGCCCTCAGCCCCCGATCCTGTTTCCTGCTTCCTGCCTGGTACTGCCCTGAGCCCTGCAGTCTCACCACTCTTGGACAAACAGCACATTCTCACCTTCACTGATTCATTGTGCAGGGGAAGGAGAATAGACAGCATCTTGTCATCAGGGGCATCCGGGACTGGACCTGTACTTGCCTGGCATAGGGGAACTCCTGGATGGAGTAAGCCCTTCTCCTCTGGCAGGGATAGGCCCCAGCCCCTTGTCTGAAGCTCGCCATCCTAGGAAGGTGCCCAGAGCAGGGCTCAGCCCATGTCTTTTGGCCCCCTTCTTCCTTATGACAACCACGCTGCCACCATGACTGTGCCCAGTCATTGTGCAGGACAAATGGGGCAAGTCACAGAACCGTGAAATGGCCCACGTCTCAAATGCGGGCTGACTTCACACTTGTGCTTGTGTGTTTTTATATCCCCCCCCTCCCTTTTTCTCATTCTCTCTCTCTCTCTCTTCCTCTTTCTCTCTCTCTCACTCCCCACACCCGCTCTACACACACACTATTGTTATCTGTTGGATTATAAGCTCTCAGAAGGCAAGGTCTGTGTCTATTTGGCTTGACTTTTGCAGTACCATACTTAGAATGATGATAATGGTGAGAAGCATAGACCCTAGGAGCTTGAAGACTCCTCCTTAGGGATGTCCCAGTAGGCAGGGGCCCTGCCTGTACCAGAATCCCCACCAAGTGGTCCTTTTCGGTCTTCATTTGAAGACCTCTAAAGCAGAGGAGCCCACCATCTCCAAGGCAGTCCATTCCACTTTAGAATAGCTCTAATTGTTTGGAAGTATTGGGATCACGGAGTCCAGTTTCTTCATTTAATGGATTTTATGAGAAATGAAGAGCCCAATGTGAGTGGTCTAGTGGATACAGTGACAGATTTGGAGCCAAAAATACCTGAGTTCAAATCCTGCCTCAGAAGCTTACTTACTAACTGTGTGACTCTGGGCAAGTCACTTAACCCTGTCTGCCTCAGTTTCCTCTTCTATAAAGTGGGGATAATAATAGCCTCTACCTCCAAGGATTATTGGGAGGATCAAACAAGGTACCCCACATAAGGGGTTTTACAAACCTTGTTATCATTTTTGTCTGTGGTCAGATGACTGGTTTGAGATAGAACAGTGTCTCCCAAGAAGAGAGGATCCAGACCTGGAGGTCAGATTGGCTTGTTTTGCAGATCAGCTCACTGAGGCCCAGTAAGGTCACACAGGAGCAGAGCTGTGATGCCCGTCTAGGCCCTTCTCCTCCTCCCAGCCCCACGAGCCCCCGACACCTGTGTCTTCTGGTGCACACCCCTGCTTCCTGAAGACTCAATTTTCCCACCTCCTTGGTAATAGGAAATGAAAAGGTTCATTGTCTAAATCTCAGGCAGCCTCTGTACCCTACTCGGTCCCAGTGTCTTAATGTTTAGTTATTAAAGGCTATACGTAGCAGCCAAATACTAGTGCACCAGTCTGGTCCTGGACGCTTCTTCACACCCAGATGCCCTGGAGAAATCCCTTTCTCCTCTTCCAGCTCCATTTTCCAGGTGAATTCATAGCAAGTAAACATTTCACAATTCCCTGTGCCTTGTCTACCTTCTGGAAGGTTCCGGCTGAATAAAATTCATATTCTGGTATTTTTTAATCGCCCCCCTACCTCTCTCTGATTCTTGCCTCCTGAAAGAGAAGAGAACCTGTCTAGCCAAAGACAGCATGGCAACCTTTCCCTCACCATCTCCCATGGGGCACAAACTGAAATTGAATTAGACAGGGATATCAGGCCTGCTCGCTGTGATAACTGTGAAAGGGTTTTATTTAAAAACACCCTGACATTTGTTCACCCAGTTTCAAATATTTAGCTTTCTCCCCATTCCGTTCCTGGCAGGGGCAACTTTATTAATTGTTGCCTTTGATTCAGAGTTTAAGCTTGGAAGCCCTGATAACAGCAGTGGTGGCTATTCTCACTGCAGGGCCCACAGCTAAAGGATTTCACTTTCTTAAAGATGTGATGTGTACACTGAGAGTTTATATTAAAAAGAGAGAGCTTCTTACGTGAGTATTACCAGCTGTTCCTTCCTGATATGAGGAATATCAGATTTCTGTCTCTGTCTCTCTCTCTCTCTTTCCCCCATCTCCTTTTTTATTTATTTTTTTTCTAGCACGGATGCTATCTGCATTTTTTTTACCCTTAAAAAAAGTTTGGGTAAGAGGTTGAAATAAAAGGGTGCTATTGACCAAAAACATAGGGATTTTATTTTTTTCTTGCAATTTTATTTTTTTATTTGTTTTACACAGTTGCCTATATTTCCCCCTCCTCCACATGGCGCTGTGAAACGCAGATAAATCCAACTGACTGTGGCATGTGCATTTAATTTCCTTAAGAAGTTTCTCCTCCATGTACAGGAATGTTCATCGGAGACAAGGGACGTAATTGGATGATTAAAGCCAGCAATCGCCATCTGGTTATGTTTAATGAGGGGCAAGACAAGGAATTGGTGACGGCCCCACTGGACTGTCACAGTGCATTGTATAAATTAGATAATAGCCTGGGCCTAGCTGCTAATAATAGTTGGGTGAATGCAGGGTCTCTGGGCAGACACTACCTGTTAAAGCTCAGGATGGGAAAGGATGCGTTCTTAGGGGCTCTGATGAAAAACAAACAGGAATTGGTTTCTGGGCTGTGACCTCGACTCCCTTTCTCCTTCTAAAAACCACGACTGCTTCACGAATGGGGCTGTCTCATTTCTGATACTCAGAATGAAGGAGCAGAGGGGCATCAGCCCTGCCCAAAAGGGAAGGCCTGGTTCTTAGAGGAGAGTGGGTCCATCTGACCTCACCCACCTCCCAAGGGGGAGAAAGTCGATAAGACGATTATTTCTGGCCAGTCGGGAATCCCAGCACAGGGACTGTTTTCAGATAGAGACAAAAGTCAATTTTTTCTTTTCTGTGTGTTTCAGAACGTTAGCAAACATTGTTCTCCAAGGGCTTGCTAGAATATAAAATGCTTAGTTTTGCCACTGAGAGTAATGCAGAAATGATTCTGCCCTTACGACAGAGCTGCCTGTCCCCTTTGTTTCTCAAAATTCATTCAAGTATGGAAGCTGTGGCCAATCTCGTTTTCTAAAGTTGTCAGGTTTTGGAGCTGGAGGCTTGGGATTAGGCAGAGTTAGTCAGGGCATCGAGGCCAGGCTGGCCAACTTCTGCGGGCTGTTTCCAGGCCAGCCTCGGTGCAGTAATCAGCCTGACGCCAGTTAAACCACCCTCAGCCTGGGGCAGGGGGAGCACCCAGGCCAGCCACCAGCCAAGCTTTGCCCAGGCTCCTCCCGATTGTTGCTTCGTAGTTTGGTTGTTCCCCAGCTCCACTTCCCTCCTGAGCCTGACCATTGGCAGGGCTTTAAATGATCCCATGTTCAAGAGGACCCTTCTGGGTTCCATTTATCCAAAGCAAACAGGCTCCATCAGTGTGACTGACTCCCATGGCCTGCCTTTGTGGTGGGGAGGGAATTGGCCACGCTTTCTTGAAAAAAAGCAAGTGATTGTTTTTCATCATTTGAAAAAGTATTTCTTAGCAACAAGCATTTTTTTTGAGCGTCAACAGGGCCCTTGGAGCTTTAGAGCAAAAGCTGAGTTGTAGTCCTTCACAAACAAATTCCCATTTTAAATCCTGGTTCTTACGTTCTCGTGACCATGGTTCAGTGCCTCTTTTGTTAGCTGAGTGACCGTCCGTGCCTCTTTTCAGAAAGCCAAGCCTCGCCTCAGAAGCAGAAAGCTGGACGTGCCTAAACCTGGGTTGCAGGGAATATTGATCCCGGCGAGGTTGCTACTTTGTTTAAAAAATCGGCCTCTGTCCACCAACCAGACTGCAGGTGGATTAATAGACCGAGCTAGGCTGTGGATGGTCATTTCATTATGAAGTATTGGCTGTTGGCCAAAATATGTCAAGCTACCACTTGCGTAAAATTGTCTTCTTCCCCTCCTTTCACAGGGATTGATGCAACTCAGGCTTTCTGAGGCTGCACTGGAGACCTGGGGGAAGGCTCTTCTCTCTCTGCCTTTACTCATGGCTCGGCTTCTAGATTCTCACTCTTCCTGTTGCACACCTGTGCCCTCCTGGGAAAGGAAAGCCAGGGGACTGCAGAAACCCGCAGTTAGACAAGGAAGGGTTGGGTGGGGGCAGGGAGCCAGAGAAAGATTGGGGGTGCAGGATGTACAGTGAAATGTCTCCCAGGAAATTGGGCCTTTTCATCCCAACGCCAAAGTCCAGAGTCCCGAGGGTCCAGCTCTGACATGGAGTTATCTGTCCTGTAGCATTCCCAGTCCAGAAGAGTCTTGAAGGATACGGGTTTGCCCTAAGGGAGGCAAGACCAGTGGTGCATTCCAAAGTCCAGAGGGCCAGCCTTCACTGGCCCTGAAAGAGACCCAAATTTAGGAACCCGATGGCCTTCAGGGTCCTATTCAGAAACCCAGGAGCCAGGCCAGGCTTGAGATGAGGGAGGGGAGCTCTTCAAAATGGGATTCTTCCCCTAAGACTGAGCCAAAATAGGATCTGTCTCTGGAAGAGGGTGAGATGGTGGGGCACGTGCTGTGTGCTGACCCTCAGCAGGGTATTGGCAATGTAAGTGCTTCATAAAGGCGTGTTCCATGCTATAGGCAGCTTTCAAACAGGCTCCCTTAGAAAGAGTGGAGAGAGGAGTGAGAGTGTGTGTGTGTGTGTGTGTGTGTGTGTGTGTGTGTGCACGCGCATGCGCGCGACCTATGTGCCCGTGTGTGTGTGCATGCTCGGCTGTGACGGGCCGAGTTGCTGGGATGCCTCCCTCCCGCTGCCTGGGGTCAGGACAGCATGCCCTTGGGTTCCTCATGCCGTTTCCTGGTCGATTTCAGGTGAGTCACCAGCTGGGGAATGTGATGGATCTCTTTACCACCAGCCTGTCCCTAGCGGGCCTGCAGCCTCCGGGAGACCGAGAGATTGACGGCATTGACCTTCTCCCAGCCATTACCCAGGGCAAGCTGATTGACAGGTTAGTTACAGACAGAAAGGTGTTCCGAACCCCCGTTCACGTCCCCTCCCTCTGCCAACCTGCCCGCCCCGGCTCTTGGAAGTGGTACAGAACCGAGGCTTTAAAATCCCATCTGGTGACTGTGACTTTAGAAAAAGGAATCGTTCCTACGCTGGGCAGATGAATGAGGCTGAGAGGAGAGGGGGGTGGCTTGTAGGATGAGAGCACTGGGATTTTCAGGCACAAAACAGATTGGCAGTAATGAGTCCCAGAGCTGTTGCTGGCATCAGGGGTTGTGTGCAAACCTGGTGGAGTGTATAAGAGTGGAGTTTAACCAGGGAAGTCTTGAGACAGTAGGGGTAGAGAGGAAAGTGCATTGCCTTCTCTTGGACCTTGTCTGGTTCTGGTATCCAAAAAACCGGTGTCAGGGTTATTGAGCCAAAACTTCATTATTGCAGTGGCTGTTTGGTCTGTGACAGACACCCCCAGCACCCTTGGTTTCTGCTTCACCCTGGGCAGTTGTTTAGACTCACTTCTTAGTTGTTAATGTAAGAAGGAGGGATAAGGGAAACCACACACAGATTTAAAGCAACCTTGTGATTAAAGTTTTTCAATGCACTACTATTCACAAAAATTCCTTGAACACTGGCGCCTAATGCTGTGTTTGGAGCTTTTGTCTAAATTTTTATTTGTCCAAAGCCTATCTTCTTTTTTCCCTAGGACCTATGAGACTGTGCTAATTTGCCCAGCAGGAATTATTTGAACAGAGAATCAGTTCCTAGGAAGCTTTTGGAGGACCATGAATTTGAAAGCTGAGGATGAGATAGGGCAGAGAGCCAGTTCTGAGCAAGGGAAATTAGAGTACTTTCATTGGGTGTGTGGGCTAGGAATGATTTTGTACTTTTTTTAATGCTTATTTACCCTCTGTTAAAATTCCAGGTTGGGGAAGGGGGGAGACCCACAATGCCTTGTTTAAGTGGGGGAGAAGGCATATAAGCAACTCAGTATCCTAACTAATTCTGCCTAGTTCTCCCATCGCTCAGCTCACCCTTCTGGTGCTGCCACACTCAGAAGGCCGGCATCCTCTACTTTGGGTATCCATCTCTACCGGGCTTTACTCCAGACCCCTCACTCTTGTGAGATGTTGTTCCCTCTTTAATTTGTTGAGTTCTATTAAAAACAACATCAACAATAACACGCCAGAGCTGAGTAGCACCGAGGTCAGCAGCCACTCCTGGCTCCATTGTATCATGTTCCATTTTCACCCAGTATGACCCCAGCCTGATGAACGTGTTTTTAAAATGTTCATTGAAAACCCAGTGTTGCAGACTATTAGCAGACCGCCTGGCTTTGCTCTGTCTTTGAACCGGGAGGTCGCTTCCATTAAGGTATTGCTCTCCCTTATCTCGGTGTAGACGCAGTGTGTTTGTCCTGTGGCTGAATCGTTTTATCTTTCTTCTCCTTTTTCCCCTCCCCCATCCCCATCCTGTTCTCTTTCTGTGACAGGCCCGTCTTCTATTACCGTGGCAACGAAATGATGGCAATCAGGGTGGGACAGTACAAGGCTCACTACTGGACTTGGAGCAACTCGTGGGAAGAGTTCAATGAGGTAGCCGCCTTCTGCTGGGGTTCGCATGCTTTCATCTTAGGGAGGCCCTGAACGACCGATCCAGCCACTTGAAGAACTGGACAGATAGACTGGGAGAGCCTTAGGTAAAATGGTAGAGGAGATGAGTTTTGTCCTGGGCCTGATTCCATGCCTTCCTCCTCTTGACCCTTAATTGAGCAGAAAATTCTTGGGGAAAAGCTTTATTTATTTGTACTACCACCACTCGAAGGTCTTATGTGGAGGGAGGGGATGCTAGCATCATAGATCCGGAGGGACTCGGAGGTCATCTTATCCAACCCACTCATTTTACAGAAGGGGGACCTGAAACCCAAGGAGGTAAGTGATGTGCCCAGCGTCACCCGATCATCACTCTCAGAGGCAGAGTTTAGTCTGGTCCTCTCACTCCAGACCCAATGTGCTTTCCATGGTCCATGCTGCCTCCTGATAGGGTATCCTGCCTCTTCCTGTTTTCCCCCACCTCATCCCTGTGTGTCATTCACATGGTTCTAGGCTGGGTGGAGAGAATGCAAGAAACTCCTTTGATTCCATGTGAGGGAACTCTGTGTGAGCAATTCTGAGAAGACTGATGTCGCAGCCTTCCGAGGTCTCCTTTCTGTACCTTCCTCTGCCCCTGAGAAGTCTCCTTTCTCCTCGTTGTCCTGTTCCTGGCCCAGCCTGGCCCGCATCCCCCTCCCGTCTGGCTCCTTCTCCAGGCACAGCCCCCAGGGCCCAGAGGAGCTGCCGCCCTTCACCCCCCCACCTGCCCTCGGTCCTCACTTCTGCAAGTACCGGCACATCTGACTCTCCTGAGGGATTTTATGTCTTCAGCCCCAAAATCAGCGAGGACTTCTGGCTCACTCCTGCTTCTCACTTCCAGTGCTCATCTTTCCTCCTCTCCTCCAGCTTGTTTCCAAATGCAGCTTTTCTTCCCACCTCGTGGCAGAGACTGATAAACATGATATTTACAGTGAAAATACGCAGAAGAACCCCTGCTGTGAGCAGACGGGCCACGCACAGAGCAGGTGCCGCTGGGGAACGACTACCCTTTCAGTCTTTTAATTCAGCTTTATTCCCGACAGAAAACGTACTATGTGACAGCATGCTAATAGGATGTAGGTAGCACTTTAAGGCGTACTGTGCCCTGTCCAAATTTTCTCTCATTTGATCCTCGAACTGTCCTGGAAGGTGGTGGTGTTTCTGACCTCAGACACTTACTAGCTGTGTGACCCTGGGCAAGTCACTTTACCCTCTTTGCCTCAGTTTCTTCATCTGTAAAATGAGCTGGAGAAGGAAATGGCAAACCCCTCTAGTATCTTTGCCAAGAAAACCCTAAATGGGGACACGGAGAGTTGGGCACGACTGAAATGGCTGAACAAAAGCAACAATTACAGATGAGGAAACCGAGATTGAGAGGAGATAGTTGGTCTCACAGGGGAGAGAGTGCTTGGCTTGGAATCAGGAAGACTTCTCTTCCTGAGCTTAATTCTGGCCTCAGACACTGCTGGCTGTGTGACCCTGGGCAAGTCATTTCACTTCTGTTTATCTCAGTTTCCTCAACTGTAAAATGGGAATAATAATATTACCAACCTCTCGGGGTTGTTGTGAAGATCCAGTGAGATATTTGTAAGCTGCTTAGCACCATGCCTGGCACTCAGTAGGTGCTTAATGAATGCTTGCTGTTGTTATTAGAGAAGTGAATGACTTGCCTAGGGTTACACGTAGAGCTCGTAAATGTCTGAGGCAGGACTTGAAACCAGGCCTCCCGGGGTCCGTGTGTAGCACAGACGTGCTGAGAGTGCTCCTCATTGCTATCTCGTCTCCATTTTTCTTTTCCTGTGTCTGCTGCTTTTGTTCCCGATCCTTTTCTTGCCTCTTTCTACCTTCACTCATTCTTCCTCTGACCTCCTCATGCTTTCTCTCTCTCTCTCTCTCTCTCTCTCTCTCTCTCTGCCTCCTCCCTTCCTTTCTCTCTCTCCCTTTTTTGCTCCTTCCCTCTCTCCGTTTCTCTCCCTCTCCCCTCTCTCTCTCTCCCTCCATCCTTCCCTCCCTCTCCCTCTCTCTTTGCCCCCCATGAGTCCCCCTCCTCTTCCTTTTCTCCTCCTTATCCTCACTCTATGTCTCCATTCCCTCAGTGCTCTTAGTTCTCATCAGCAGCCTCTCTTCATTTTTTTGTTGGCTTTAAGGTTCTTAGATACAGTGAGACTTCATGAATTTGGCCTAATTGGGAGAAAGGGCAGTTTTAATTGAGGAAAGAGCTGAGTCACAGGATTTTGCTTCCTGGGGCCAGAAGCAGAGTGGCTATGATCCTCATGGGAGGGGCCTTTTTGGCCCCAGAGATCTCAGGAGAGACAGCCTGGTCCTGGGGGCATCCTTTGCCACTGGGTTGGCTGTCAACACTCCTTGGCAGTCCTGGTCTGTCTGCTACCTGCTCTGCCTCCCAGACACCCAAGAAAGAAGATGAGGACCTAGTGTGTGCTTGGTTCTGTTGTAAGCATGAACCCTGTTGGGTTTCCAGCCACATCCGCATTTATCTCTTCATCAGATGACCTGGCCTCTCCCTTGGAGAAAGATGGAGATTATATGTTTCAAGCTAACTCATCTTACTTGTTTCACTCTTGAGACCCTTTCTGCATCTTCACCATCTTCCTTGTTCCAGTACAGGGTGAGATGGGGCCTTTCTCCCCAACAAGGCCAAACCATTCAGTCCACCTTTGGCCCCCATCTCTTCCAGCCACCTCCAAGACCTTAACCCCTAAAGAATTCCCCTCTCTCATTTTCCTTCTCTTTCTCCACTGCCTTCAAATATGCTCCCATCTTCCCTGTTCTGAGAGATACATTTCCTTGGACATGTTGTCTTTTCTGCTAAACTTCTAGAAGTAGTCACCTTAGGAGGTAATGGTGTTGGTGGGGAACAGGACTGCCTAATTGCTAAATCCAACTTTTTTTAATTCTTACCTTCTGATATTTTGGTAGCATTCAACATTTGGCCACCCCTTCCTTCGAGATCCTTTTTCCTCCCTTGCTTACAATGACTTGCTCTTTCCTGGTTCTTGGGCTCCCCCCAGGCCGACCATCCCTCAGGCTTCTTCCCTGATTCATCCTCCTCCTCCTCCAGCCTCTTAATATTGGGGTATCTGTCCTCAGCCTTTTTCTCCTTGCCACTGCACTGCCACCTTTAAGATGAGAACAGTAACATTCATAGGACCAGCTGGGTGGGGAGCTAGTTTAGTACCCCAGGTTTCATCTTTTTGTTGGTGATGCAGGTCGCTGCCCCTCAGTAACTGAGTATATGATATGTTCTGTTGGATGTTTAAGCTCATAATGAGAGAAAAAAATGCAAAAGAAGGTACGGTTGCCCTCCTGGCACAGGTTGGGGGGGAGCATCAGAAGCTGTAGGACTAGAGCCTCTCAGGGTTGTCATGTAAATGTCAGGCGTGTGTGTGTGTATGTGTGTGTGTGCACGCATGCGCGCATGCACATCCCTGTATGTCCTCTGCCGCCCTCTCCCTCCCCTGGGGTGTCTAAGTCTGTGAGGTCATCAGTGAGGTACCTCCTGGTGTGAAAGCTCCTTCCACTGATGGAGATGGAACGTTCTTCTGTAACTGAAGCCTTAGAGAGTTAGCAAGGCCCCTGAGAGGTCATGAGGCAGGATTCTACCACCTTGTGTCTCATCTAGTGTGCATTTACCCACCTGTTTATACTCCACTTCTTCCCCCAGTAGACTCTAAGCTCCTCAAAGGCAAGGGCTTTTTGGGTTTTGCCTTTGTATCCCTAGGACCTTAACCTGGGCCTTGTGCATAGGAGGAGACATTTGGTAAAGATTTGTTGAATTGAATTGCACTAAATGGCATCTATCCCCGTGACCTTCAGTTCTTCTCCCTGCCCCCACCTGCCCCTCCTCTTAGCTCCCCCCTTTCCATCCATGGTTGACACTCAGGTGCAAACCCTGCATCATCCAGGACACCTCCTTCCCCTTCCCCCTGCATGTGCCGTCATCTGCCAAGTCCTGTCCATCCCGTCTTCATCCTTACTCTTTTGCTGCCATCCTATTCTTGGCCTTCATCACCTCTGACCTCCTAACTGGATTCCCTGCCTCCAGTATCTCCTTTCTCCTGTCCACCCTCACTGAGTTCAGATGCTCCCCTCTTACCTGGGCTTACAACAAGTTTAGTGATTCCTTAATGCCCGTCTGATGGGATAAAATACCCAGCCTTAGCCTGACATTTTAGATCTCCACCATCCGGTTCCAGTCCATTTGTCCAGACTTATCTCCCATCGTTCCCCTCAGTGACTCTGTATCACAGAGTAGCCCCTGACCTCAGGCTGCCTGCCCCCTTCTCACTCTGCCCGCCTGCTTAGGCCATTGCTTGCAGTACGCTCAATCCCCTCCTCTGCACGCTGAACTCTTCTTCTTCTTCCCCCGAGGTCCAGCTCAGGGACTGCTTGGTCCAGGAAACCTGCCCTGGTCCCTCAAGTCAAAAAATTACCCCTCCTGCTCCAGATTTCCAGAAAAATGGCAAAAATTCCCGGACACTTTGTCTTGGTTTCCTCTTTATTTAGGAGGGTACACTATTATTTTGTAAATCTCAGGTCCAAACGTTTCTGAATTTTAAGAGTTCTTCATAAAAAACATCACTTCTGTTTCCATTTCCACATGTTTTTCTGGGTCTTGGGTCATAAGCCCAAGCGGCTCATGCCTTGCATTTGTACATTTCACACTATATATTTGGTGACTAATTTGCTGGCCCTCTCACCGTACGGTTGAGCCGTAAGTACACTGAGATGATTATATTCTCAGAAATGAAGCCGCGCGTTAGGAGACCGCTTTGAATAATTTCTATAGCAGGGTAATTGGTGCTGCAAGGTCATCTTGACCATCATTATTACAACTATGTTGTATTTTTTATTAGAACTGGTAAGCCCTTGGGACAAAACAGATTTTTTTCAATGCCAGCAGCATCTGTGAATATGAAAACAAATATGTAAGTTCCCCAGTTGTG